TTTCTATGAAATTTAACATCTCTAGATTGGTCCAATGTATTTTAGCATTTTCCTACAAGGAGAAATAATTTATTAAGAGTCCTAAGACACATCAAATTGTTTTACTAATCAAAAACTTTACTATTTTTGAAATTTGAATTTAAGAAAAATTTTGTCACAGGCTTAATAAATATATACAGATTTCTATAAAACAACACTAAATTACTCAGAGTGATAACTGGAGAGTTTTTTTAAGTAGTTATATTTTTACAGTGCTCAACAATGCTGACAGATCTGTATTTTTTAGTTATCCAAGTCTGAGGTTAAAAGAGAACCAAGAGGGCCTCCACGGTGGCGCAGCAGTTGAGCGCTGGGCTGCGAAGGTGTCCGCAGCCTCTGCAGCACCGGTTCAATCCCCAGCCACTGGGTGAGGGTCCCACCTGGCGCGCAGACCTCTCCTGCAGCCCGCTGCAACCCTCAGCAGTGTACTTCGTCCATCTGCCTGTTCTGCTCTCCGCTCTGGCTCTGGTGAATTATCTCACCCTCCTGCGCTTCTGACTGTACCCAGTGCTTGTATAAATAAATAAATAAATAAATCTTTAAAATAAATAAATAAAAATAAAAAAGTCTTTAAAAAAAAAGAGAAACAAGATTTTAGATAGCCTAGACAGTTTTTTTTTTTTTTTCCCATTAAGAACCAGTAAAAGCAGTTTAAGAATACTTGAGTCTTTACTGCAAATGAAAAAGAAATTAAAGTTTGGTTGTTCATAAGGACACTACTGATAATAAACTTAAATATTTTTAAAGCAAGTCATTCTGTCACATAGCATTTTTTAAGATACTTCTCTCAGACCTTTAAACTATTTTTCTTCCTATTGTACCATTTTTTCAAAGATAGCCATTTTTTTGGACACTAAATTTTTCAAGACCTTTAACATATCTGTCTTAAATACATTCCTTTTTTATCATTTTATTTTTCATTTAAATTTTATTTTATATTCCCCATACAATTACAACCCCCTTATTTTGACTGCAAGCCATCCTTTCCCTGCCCCCCACTCCCATAGAGTGTCTCTGGTTCATAGTTGTTTGTTGATTTTGATATTTTCTTTCTTATAGTTATTCTTTTTCCTGGTCCCTTATTTAAGTTATCTAGATCCCTGCTTTAAGTGAGACCATCCAGTATTTTCCTTTTTCTTTCTGACTTATTTCGCTGAGCATGATCTCTCCCAGCTCCATCCATGTTGCTGCAAATTGCATGAGTTTATCTTTTTTGAATGCTGAGTAATATTCCATTGTGTATATGTACCACATCTTCTTGATCCAGTCATCTAATTTTGGGCATTTGGGTTGTTTCCAAAGCTTAGTTATTGTAAATAGTGCTGCTATAAATGTAGGGGTGCAGGTGCTCTTTGGAATTGATGTTTCTGTGTCCTTGGGTAAATACGTAGGAGTGGAATTGCTGGATCATATGGAAGTTCTATGTTTAGTAGGTCAAGAAATCTCCACACAGCTCTCTTTTTATGACCAAGAACAAAAACCAAAGGGATGTTAAATCTTCAGCCCCACGGTGTGAAGCACAAGGAATCTTCAGCCCCACGGTGTGAGGATCTTTAGCTTCGGCCCCACGGTGTGAGGCCCTTTAGCTTTGGCCACACAGTGTGAGGCCCTTTTTCTTAGCTGATTGTCAGTGTCTTACCTGGCTGAGGCATCAAGGCACCCTGCAGCACCTGGCCACCAGGCGAGGTTCCCACATGGCGCTCAGACCTCTCCTGCTGCCAGCTGCTCCCCTCAGCAGTGTACTTCATCAGTCTGCCTGTTCTGTTCCCTGCTCTGATTCTGGTGAATTCTCTCACCCTCCCACACTTCTGTATAAATAAAATAAATAAATAAAATGAATAAATCTTTATTTATATATAAATAATAAATAAATCTTTAAAAAAAATGATCTGGAACAAGACAAGGATGTCTACTTTCACCACTGCTTTTCAATATAATACTGGAAGTCCTAGACAGAGCAATAAGACAAGAGAGAGACATACAAGGAATCCAAATAGGCAAGGAAGAAGTCAAACTATCATTATTCACAGATGATATGATAATATACATAAAGAACCCCAAAAACTCGACAGAAAAACTAATTAAACTAATCAATCAGTATAGTAAAGTGGCAAGATAGAAAATCAACAACAAAAATCAGTAGCCTTCCTATACACAAACAATAAATCTGAAGAAGAAGAAATCAAGAAAATCATACCTTTTATTATTAAAACAAAAACAATCAAATATTTGGGAATAAACCTAATAAAAGAGGTAAAGGACCTATACAAAGAAAACTATAAAACACTGTTAAAAGAAATAGAAGAAGACAAAAGAAACGGAAAGACATCCCCTACTCAAGGATTGGAAGAATTAACATCAAAATGGCCATCCTACCAAAAGGAATTTACAGATTCCATGCTATGCTATTACAATAAAATTTCAATGACATACTGCAAAGAAATAGAACAAATATTGATGAAATTCATATGGAGCCACCAAAACCCCTGAATAGCCAAAGCCCTCCTGAAAAAAAAAGAAGGAATTGAGGCATCACACTCTCAGATTTCAAACTATACCACAAAGCCGTAATAATCAAAACTGCGTGGTATTGGAACAAGAACAGACACACGGACCACTGGAACTGAATAGAAAATCCAGAAATAAACCCACAGATTTATGATCAACTAATCTTTGACAAAGGAGCAAAGACTATGCAATGAAACAAAGAAAGTTTGTTCAATAAATGGTGCTGGGAATACAGGGTCACTATATGCAAAAGAATGAAGTTTGACTGCTACCTCACATGATACACAAAAAACAACTCAAAATGGATTAAAGAGCTAGACTTAAGACCTGAAACCATAAAATATAAAGAAGGAAATATAGGCGAAACACCACATGACATGCACCTCAAAAACATCTTTGTAGACACATCACCCAAAGCAGTGATAATGAAGGCAAAATATAAACAGCTGGGACTACATCAAGTTAAAGAGCTTCTGCACAGCAAAAAAGACAATAACCAAAACAAAGAGAAACCCCAATGACTGGGAGAAAATTTTTGCACACAACACTAATGATAAAGGACTGATCACAAAAATCTACAAAGAGCTAGCTGATGAGACTCAAAATCAACAAGGAAATATAAACCAGAGACACACTACGGTGGGGGATGGTGGTGGTGGGGAGAGGAAGGATTAGGGTCAAAATAAAGGGGGTGCTGGGCCTCCCCTGGTGGCACAGATGGCTGTGCACAGCGCTGTGAAGCTGTGGGCAGCCTCTGCAGCACAGGTTCAATTCTGTCCAGCCAGAGAGGGTCCCACATGGCTCAGCAGACCTCTCCTGTGTCGCCTGCTGCCCCCCTCAGAAGTGTATTTCAGTCACTCTGCCTGTTCTGTTCCCTGCTCTGTCTCTGGTGAATCCTCTTACCATCCCGCACATCTGGCCTATACCCTGGTTCTTGTATAAACAAATAAATCTTTAAAAAAAATAAGGGGGGTGGAATTGTATGGGGAATACACCCAAAATGAAAATGTATACATTGTGCAAAAATGAAAAATTATGTAAGAATTATATGAAGTAAAATATTTATAAAAAAATCATACATTAGCACAAGTTCCAACCAATACGCAAGAGAGGCCTGTGGAAATGTAACAATAGGAAATATTCCATGATATTATTTCAGGTTTCACTTTACAAATAACCTTCGAGAAACTACCACCTGTATATATATATATATTTTTTTTTAAAAGATTTATGGGCCTCCCCTGGTGGCGCAGTGGTTGAGTGCTGGGCTGCAAAGCTGCCCTCAACCTCTGCAGCACCGGTTCAATCCCTGGCCGCCAGCAAGGGTCCCACATGGCATGCAGACCTCTCCTGCCACTCACTGCTCCCCTCAGCAGTGTACTTATTCAGTCTGCCTGTTCTGCTCTCCACTCTGGCTCTGGTGGATTCTCTCACCCTCCCACACTTCTGACTGTACCCAGTGCTTGTATAAATAAATAAATAAATCTTTAAAAAAAAAAGATTTATTTATTTATGCATACAAGAACTGGGGTGCAGGAGGTGGTGAGAGGATTCACCAGAGACAGAGTGGGGAGCAGAACAGGCAGACTGAGTGAAATACACTGCTGAGGGGAGCAGCAGGCAAGTCAGGAGAGGTCTGCTGTGCCATGTGGGTATCTCCATGGCTGGGGATCAAACTTGTGCTGCAGTGGCTGTGGATAGCTTCATAGGTTGTGTCTGAACGCCTTGTGCCACCAGGGAGGCCCCATCTGTTTAGTTTTAATTCAGTATCAATATTCACATTTATCTGAAAATATTGCTAGTTTCTTCATTCCTCCAGGCTGCTGCTTTCCCCAGCCCAAATCCACTCCTCCTAAAGGTGGGGAAGGGAATTTGGAGCCTCCCCTGTCTGTGGATGTCACACTGTCACAGCATCACGTCTCCCTCTCACAGGCTCTGTGGGGTGGGGCAGCCTTGATGACCCCACACTCACCCCATTCTCTCTCCCCATTTCCTGGGAAGACAATCAGCATCCTCCTGCTCCAGTTACAAAGTCTCCAAGGACTCTCCTGGACTCCTTCTCCCCAGGCTCCTGGATGAGTGTGATGCCCCTCACCCTCCTGCTGCTGCTCTGGGGGCCCCTGGCCCTGATGGAGACCCGGGCGGGTGAGTGCGTGTCCAGCTGGACACTGTTGCTCCAGGAGGGAGGAGCAAGGAGCCCCCGCGGGTGCAGGACCCCAGGAAAGGCTCATCTCCTCCCAACCTCTTGTACCCCCTTCAGGCCCTTGTGTTCTGGCCCCTTCTGTCCCTCCCGCCTCCCCTGAGTGCTCTGGGCCCTGAGTCTGGGCCCTACTTGGCCCACCGCCCCTTTTCAATCTCACGGCCCCGCCCCTTTCTCCCCTCCAGGCCCATCTCCCTGGGCCCTGGGCCCGCGCTGAGAGGAGGGTCAGCCCGGTCTCCCCTCCCGCCCCCAGGCCCCACTCCCTGAGGCTTTTCTACACCATGATGTCCCGGCCCGGCCCCGGGGAGCCCCGCTACATCGCCGTGGGCTACGTGGACGACACGCAGTTCGGGCGGTTCGACAGCGACTCTCCGGGCCAGAGTGCGGAGCCGCGGGCGCCCTGGGCGGGGCAGGTGGGGCAGGAGGACCTGGACGAGGAGACTCAGAACCAAAGGGACAACGCGCAGTGGCTCAAAGCGCTCCTGAGGGACCTGCGCGGCCGCTACAACCAGAGCGAGGACGGTGAGCTTCGCGGAGCGGGGCCAGGGTCAGGTCACCCCCATTCCCACCATAAGGCCGGGGTGTCCCGGGTCTCAGGGTCCACTGACCCCTCGAGGCGGGTGGATCTGCCAGGACCCTCCACCGGGAAGAGCCCGCGGGACATTCCTGCCTGCATTTCATTTTCAGTTTAGGTTTATTGAGGTTTATTCAGAGAGGGCGGGGTGACCTCGGGGTGACCACAGGGGTGGGTTTCAGGGTCTCACACCCTCCAGAGGATGTTTGGCTGTGAAGTGAGCCCAGACCTGAGACTCCTCGGCGGGTATGACCAGTTCGCCTACGAGGGCGCGGATTTCATCTCCCTGAGCGAGGACCTGCGCTCCTGGACCCCCGCGGACTCGGGGGCTCAGATCACCCAGCGCGCGTGGGAGGCGGCGGGCAGGGCCGAGCGCGTCAGGCACAGTGTGCAGAGCAGGTGCTTCCCGTGGCTCCTCAGATTTCTAGTTTTGGGGAAGGAGGTGCTGCAGCGCACAGGTAAGAGGGGCCAAAAGGCCTTGGACCTCCCCTCAAACTGGAAGAGGGGGGTTTCGTGGGGGGCGAATGGAATAATGGGCAGAACAGCAGCTGCTTTCTGGGCAGAGAGGGAGAGTCCCCCTGGGTTTCATGTGCTAGAGAGAGACTCGCCCAAAAGACACCACTTTTCTGGAGGGTTAAGGAATCCAGTCTCTCCTGAGGGAGGGGAGGCCATCCTGAAATAACACTTCCAGGATTCTTTTGACCTGGCAGCCATCCTGGGAAACATAAGCTTTCTTTCAAGGTCTTGTTTTTGGTCTGAGAACATTTCTGGACCTGACTCCTGCCTTTCTGTGTCATTCACCCTCCAACCAAGTCTGGAGTAAAAGTCTGTGTTCTCCCCAGAGACCCGCATCCTCCCTCATGGGCTCTTACCTAATTATCCCAGATTCCCCAGACTAGGCTGGTTTTTGGGTTTTGTGCTTCCTCCCTCCAAACCAATTGTCATGTTTGTTCTGAGGATGGTCAGTGAGTCTGCTTCAGTGTCCAGGAAGGAAAACCCAAAGTGTGATTTTTTTTGACCCTTCTCCTCAGATCCCCCAAAGACACAGGTTTCCCTCCACGTCACCTCTGACCGTGATGTCACCCTGAGGTGCTGGGCCCTAGGTTTCTACCCTGCAGACATCACCCTGACCTGGCAGCGAGATGGGGAGGAACTGACCCAGGAGATGGAGCTGGTGGAGACCAGGCCTGGGGGGGATGGAACCTTCCAGAAGTGGGCGGCTGTGATGGTGCCTTCTGGAGAGGAGCAGAGCTACACTTGCCATGTGCAGCATGAGGGGCTGCTGGAACCCCAAGTCCTGAGATGGGGTAAGGATGGGCTCTGAGTTTCTTTTTTTCTTTTTTTTAAATATTTGTTTATTTATACAAGAACTGGGGTAAAAGTTAGAGGTGCAGGAGGGTGAGAGAATTCACCAGAGACAGAATGGGGAGAAGAACAGGCAGACAACCGAAAACACTGCTGAGGGGAGCAGCAGGCGAGATAGGAGAGATCTGCCATGCCATGTGGGTATCTCCCTGGCCAGGTGGCAATCGAACTCGTGCTGCAGAGGCTGTGGACAGCTACAGAGCACTGCATTCAACCCATTGTGCCACCAGAGAGGCCCTGAGCTTCTGCTTGGAGGAATCAGGAGCCCTTCTGGAGAATTTCAGAGAGTCAGGATGTTCCTGGGGCTCAGGGTCTCATCTTCCTGTCCCTTCCAGTGCCCCCTCCTCAGTCCTCTGTCCCCACCGTGGGCATCATTGCTGGCCTGGTTTTCCTTGGAGCTGTGCTCACTGGAGCTGTGGTGGCTGCAGCTGTGATGTGGAGGAAGAAGTGCTCAGGTAGGGAAGGGAGTAGGGGAATTTGTCCACTGGGGGCTTTCATGTCCCAGGGAGGACTTGCCTTACCTGGGTAGGAGGAAGTACCATCCACACATATATTGCCCAGTCTGGTGCTGATTGCTAACACTCAGGTTTTTGTAAAACACTTTTGAAAATGAATCACCAATTATTCACCTTATAATTGTGGTGATGGGGATCTGTTTCCCAGCAAATGCCAATGGGAAGGGACCCTGCTGTGGAAAGACTCCAATTCCCTTTCATATCCATTCTTCATATATCCCAGTCCTGACCTGGGTCTTCAATCACAGTTCTAGAAATTTCCCTGTGACCCAGACTTGGAGATTCCTTTAGGACTCCATGCGCTGACTACTCCCTTATCTCACATGATGTTTCTTCCTGTAGGGGGACAAGCAATCAGCTACACTCAGGGTGCAGGTAAGTGTAGATCAGGGGTTGGATCCCTGAGCCCCTGAGGACAGTGTAGAGGGAACTCTAGGGAGAGTCACTGTTGCACGAGGATGATCAAGAGGTGACCTGAGGATGGCAAGGGAAGGGCTGACCGAAACGCTGAGAAAACTCGCATATGCCAGGGTGGAAAACCACCTGGGAGGGACGCCCTGGACTTGCTTCGTCCTTGGAAGTCTCCTTGGTCGTAACTTAGCAACAGAGACTCACAAGGACAGGCATGTCCGACAAGCACAGGGGCTCATATAAGTGATGTGTATGAGCTCACGCACATGGTGTGCGAGGCAAGGTTGTTTTGGCTTTTTCTGACTTATGATAAAACGCAGATGTGTTTGTTCACAATTCCCATATAACCATGCTGAGAAATGTAGAGAATCACTGCTTGTAGCTGAAAGCATTGCCCCGTCTGGTGGGTCCTTTGCGACCAGCGTCCCAGGTCTCAGAGCCCACTGGAGGCTCACAAGTGGCGCCCAACAGGGACCTGAAGGAGAAACCTCCCACTGAAGTGACGAGGTGACAGCAGTGGTCACGACTCCACAGAAGGATGTGAGTAGAGGTGGGAATTCCAGATGGGGCAATCTTCTTCAAGGCTTTCTACTTTCGCTTTGCTTCTGCAGCATCTGCTTTCTCACCATAGGGCAAAAATACCCCTTAACCAGATTCTAGAATGTTTAACGGTAGTTGAAAAATATAACCCATGGTTCCCAGAGGGCAGGTTGCTGGATATAGAAACTTGGGAACAAGTAAGAGATAACGTGACACAGTCTTATAAATGGAGGAAGAAATGCTTCAAGCTTTTCCTGTTAATTATTTGGGGTGGGGGGAGGCCAGGGTTTCTGCCACTAGAGTTTTGCCATTTGTTTTTTTAAGAAAAATAAAAAAGTTATTTCTAAAAAATGGTATTCGAAGTTCATTCACAATTGTTAAAGTGATAGGAAATGGTTATAATATGACTATATGAGACTAAAAGGTTTTTATTAAAATAATGTAAAGCCACTGTGGTGGACAGGTGGAGGCTACCCCAGTCTCAGCAAGCAGCTGCCTGGACTTTTTCTCCAGTGCTGAGATCACTGGCAGGTCTCTGCTGCCTTTCTGCTGTGGGGGACTGGACTCTCCTTTTGTCCACCTTAAAACACCATTCTGGCCTGTTCTATAGGTAAAAAATCCTATTTCCCTGTGTCTCCTACAAAATGCTTATTGCTTGAGTAAAAACTTTTGAATTTACTTACTTGCTCTTTTTTGTCTTAAAAATATGCTTGTTCTCAAGGCCTCCTCTGGTGGCTCAGGTGGTTGAGTGCCACACTGTGAAGCTGTCCTCTGCAGCACTGGTTCAATCCCGGCTGGCTGGCGAGGGTCCCACATGGCGTGGCAGACCTCTCCTGTCTTGCCCGCTGCTCCCCTCAGCAGTGTATTTCGTCAGTCTGCCTGTTATGTTCCCCGCTCTGTCCCTGGTGAATCCTCTCACCCTCCCGCGCATCTGACCTGTACCCTGGTTCTTATATAAATAAATAAATAAATCTTTTAAAAATATGCTTGTTCTCGGTGAGATAAAACAATAACAACTTAAAGCCAAAGGATCATTTCTTTAAAATATAAACTCAAAAAAAATTTCTTATCTAAAAAAAGTTAGTAAAAACTGCCGTGACTGTTGTAGTCTCAAGCCCAAGGTCTTTAGTAATAATTAAGATTGGACACATATTCTATGTAAAGATTTTGGCTTTTAACTCATTAAAAACCTTCTTAATATAAAAGTGTAACAAAAAAAAAACTTGGTAAGTGGGAATATCAAACATAAATGAGAAGCTAAGGCATCTCAAAAACTAGGTTGTTTGAGATGTTTTATAAAGGCTCTTTTACAATTTTGAAGGAATTTTTTTTTCAGGTCTTAAAATACTAATGTAAATTCTCTGTGCACAGCTTCTTCAAAGCCAGTCACTCTTAAAAATACAAATTTAAAATATGTTTGATCTAAAAGAATTGTTATAGAACTAAAATTAAATCATTAACAGGTTTCTCAGTGTCTTCACAAATATTGATAAAATAAATATCTCTTAAAATTTATACACATGACCAAAGTTGAATATGAATATCAAGAACTCTCTGTTTGTTTGTAACTGTCTTTGTTTTGTTTTGTTTTTTACCTCCAGAGGATTAATTATAAATCTTATGATATAATTCAAAGCATATATGCTTTAAAGTTATAATGTTAAGTATTAATAATTTACTCTGTTTAAATGTGTTTATTTCAAAAGAAACTTCTGGTATAAAAGGTACTTTTGTCTTTCCTACTGAGTCACATGTATATGAAAAATGTACATAGTATCTATATGTTACTCTGATTTTTTCTTGTTTTTATTAATCTGCCTAATGCTTGTTTGATTATTAGCCAGCCTAGAAAAACTTGGTATGTGCCATTGTTTTATTAACAGCCCTGCAAAATGGAATTCCAGTCATAACAGGAACTAAAGCTACAACTAAACTTTCTTAGATGCTTTAGTGTCTTGGGAACACATCAGCTGGAATAATTTTTGTTTAAAAGTAACTGAGTTTTAATCCAATGGGTTGTTTTAAAACATGTACTTATAAACTCGCATTGGGTATAACCTTAGCTCTTGTCTGGGTTAATGATGTTGGGTACATAATATCTTTTAAGTGTCTGAAAAATTACTAAGGTTTTTGAGATGAAAATTAAAGGTTATGATTTGAATGTCAATATTATACTTAGGGCTGGAACTTTCATAGAGATTAAATATGGTTGTTGTTGCTGTTTTCTAATATTTATGGCAAAGCTTTCCAAAAATCTAAATTGAAGTAAAATTTGGTAGCCTCTCATTTGATCGATTGAAGGAAATTTTGTGGAACCTCAGTAAAGCTCCAGAAACACTCCACAAACTTTCTCCCTTTCCTCCTGGGAAAGACATTAGATAAATTTGTACTATTTGGTCTACTTAATAAAGTTACACTGAAAGGGAAGCATTGTCACTTGGAAAATGGTAAAACTTTGGCATGTACAGAAATGTTAATATTGGTTTTCTAAAACAAAATCTAGTGCAGGCCATGCTACTCATGCTGTCTGCCAAGGTCTGGGCATGGGGGAAATTTCTGAAACGTCAGAAAACTCCTTAGCTGGCTCCAGCTACTTCTTTTCACTCGGTTGTGGCAGTTATTGAAACCATGGAAGTTTTCTATAAGCTCCAGAATAACACAATGAGTGCTGGCATCAATGCCAGTTTCGGTGATGCACACCTCAGTAGTTTAAGAAAAGTGCCTTCCAACATGATTGATAATGAAACGGTTTCCAATGATTCTCCACATCCTCCAATTTGTAACTCAGTTACCATGAATAACATTGAGTTCTTTAACAAGCCACATTTGATAGAGCTGTTGGAACCAGAAGAGAAGGCCCTGAGGCACCAGAGGAGGCAAAATGGTCTGAGAAAGACACACCACATACTGTTCCCACGGTACCGGGAAACCTTAGGTTCTATATAGAAAATAGGAGGCCGCCCTCCATCTTACAATCCCTGCTTAGCCTTGTTTTATTTACCTAGCCTGACCGCATAAATCACGTTGTGTGTAGCACCTGTTTTTATTTTCTGAATAACATACATCACCTAGGAAAATATGTAACCAAGTTAATGTAACCAAGTAACCAAGTTAATCATAAACTAGGAAAATTAAGAAATGGGTTGTGCACTGAGTGATCAAAAATAAATTCTGACACAACGTAAATGACATAATGCATGATGTAATGATCAAATAAAAAAATTCTGATGTATAAATAAAGACCCTCTGAGACCCTCAGCAGGAGATACTTGCACCCTATCAAGTGTTTGTGTCTCCTCATTCCCTCATCCCCTCATCCCTCCACTTTGCTGATGTCATCTAGTGCTGCAGGGACCCTTGACATGACATTTTGCAGGAGCTGGCCTCCGGCAAAAATCTTTCAGTACCTGGTATGTATGCAAATTGTCAATGGTTATTGTTGCCTTGCAATATTGTGTACTTCAATGGTTTCTACAAAAAATAAAGAGAAAAGGCCTCAATTGATTCAAATTGATGCAACTTTTGACAGTAAAAATTTTCTGCAAAGGACTGCATAGACTGTTGGAGTTACACCTGATTTTTACTAGGTTTTAGCTAAGTTGTATTTACATTTTGTGTGGCTTTGAGTGGAATTTTTCCAGGGAGTTGACATAGAGCTGAACCAAAAAAAGGAGAAACTGCTGCTTTGTTCATAGGGTTCCAGAGACCTCCAAAAATGATGAGGAAGCTTGCCTTCATTGGCAGGACTGGCCAACCCGGAAAAAGAAAAAGTCCTGGTACCCTCGAAAAGAGGAAAGCCCAGGTGGAGTCTGGAGAGACCAGCTGTGTTCCTGAAGCCTATTTTTAGATCCTATTTTAACAGTTCCATCTGATCCTATTTGGAGTATTCCAAAAAAGCTATCAAAAATTGCTGTTTGGTTATTCTGCCTTGTGATTTTATGCAAAAATAGGCAAATTTGTCTAAAAGTAAATTTAGTTCACAAATATTTTGCTGTACTGTTATATAAAATTGGAATCAAGGTAGAGAAAACTTGTTTTTAAATAAGTTAAACTAGTTTTCAGAATTTTCTTTTTGCTTCTTTTTTCCTGTGATTTGACATATTTACTGTTTTGTTTTGGTTAATGCCTTCTAATGCTTTTTTGGCATGGCCTAACTAATTTCCAGTAATGAAGGATTGTCAATACTGGAACTTCATGGACAATACTGGTGGCAGACTGTTATTCTCTAACATACACAAAACCCTGGAAAAAAACTGTTTCCTAAGACTATGTCCTGGGATCTGCCCTTAAAAATCAAAAAAGGGGGAGAGAGTCCCCTGCTACACTGATTGCTCAAGCACTTATTACTCTAATTTTTTTAAATTTGCAGGCTGATACTGACTGTTCTGCAGCTAAAAAGCATTGGCATTCAGAAGTGGCTGTAGTAAAACAGCCCATTTGGTGGAAAGATGAGATGACCAATCAGTGGGAAAAGGGAGAGGTGCTCAACTGGGGAAGAGGGTTTACTTGTGTTTCTCCAGGTCTGGAAGCCAGAGAGCGGTGGTTACCTTCAAAACTGATTAAGCCTCATTATGGCCAAGAGGGGGAGATTCCACTTCAAGCCTCTGACTCAGGAGATGAACAGCTTGAGCCTGATAGCAGTGACCAACCCCACTTTCAACAGCAATAAGGCAGATCCTCCAACATGGGGACAGTTGAAGAAGCTGGTGCATCAAGCTGAGAGTGGTGGCCCATACGAAGAAACCTCGAAATTCTGTGATTTTGTTTTTTGAAATGATGGCCATTGTGGAGGTAATTGGTGCAGAATCTTTTTATTGGATCTATGTCCCTAATCCTCCACTGCTGCAGACTATGAGCTGGAATGCAAGGTCACAAGGATTCCAGGCAGCTTTGGCAGCCTCACCTTCATCTGGATGAGGAACTGGAGGGTTGCCTGGGCAAATTACAACAAGCTGTTCAATGGCTAGGTGGCCAGTTTGTAGCACTTCAACATCAGATTATGCTACATTGTGACTGGAATGTCTCAGCTTGCTATGTGACTCCAGTGCAGTACAGTAGTTTGAACCACTTCTGGCAGGCAATCCGATACCACCTGACAGTATCTCTGGTAATATGTCCTTGGATGTTCATGCTCTTCAACAACAGGTGTTGGATTGTTTTTGCTTGATCTACCCAAGGAAACATATGAGGCACTGGCTCAAGGAATAGCCGAGGCACTTCAGGGAATGGACTCACAATCATTTATGCAGAGCATGACCCATAGCGTTAGTAGTGCTGTGATTGTTGTACTAATATGTGTGATTATTTTTTGTGTAGGATACTCCTTCCTCTGCCGAACCATGAGTGAACAATACTCCACCTCAAAGATCTTAGCCCTCTTTTTAAAGAAAAAGAAAGGGGGGATGTTGCATGAGGATGATCGAGAGGTGACCTGAGGCCGGCAAGGGAAGGGCTGACCGAAACGCTGAGAAAACGTACATGTACCA